AATTATTTGGATAATACGCAGACGGTTCTTTTGCCAAGTAAAGCCGGATTTACGCAGGCTATATAAATTCGCTCACGATCCGACGTTTTATTTGTAGAAGGTAAAAATTCGCCGAATTATATTCCAATCCGTTTTGTTTTGATATGTTAGGTACCAGCAGYAATATAGGGGTCTAATAAGTTCGTAACAAAAGTAAGACTCGATTTAAAAAATGAAGACTGTCAAATAATGACACTTTTGAAAGTCAAGACGTCTCGAAAAAAAAATTAAAAAGCCAGAATCAAAGGTGTAATATCAAGTTGCATTCATGCAAAATATGGTTTTGATCGATTACTTTTTTGACGTTCCAGCGATAACTGAATAAGTTTCATTCAATTTTCTTCAAAAAATCAAATCTATTCATATTTTGTGCATTGATAAGGTGTGATTTGGTAACAATCGCTGTGTAGTTAGTTTTTGAAAATATTTTATATTTCGCAAGAAAATCGCTGAACAATGTCACATAATATGTCTTTGCGTGACAAATACTTCGTTGCTCAAAATAGCTCTGAAAATAGGGTTAAAATGGGCATACTTCATACCGATTTCATGTAAAAACTAAAATGGCTATTTTAAAAATTTAAATTGCTGCTTTCTTATTAACTCTTTTTTTTTTATTTCATTGACGATTTCAGACGATTTAATTAAAAAGAAATTTTCTGCAACTCGAAATATTTGCATATGTAATCTTTTATATGAAAATAAGTACCTTTACAAAACGTTGTGTTTTTYAATGTGCAAGTATATTGTTTGCAATAAAATCTGGAGTGATTACTGAACAAGAGATGAGCTTTGCAAATTCATAAAAATTAGTCTGAGCAAATCAATATCAGTTGCATAGAATCTCTTCGGAAATGTTAATGAACATATGTTTTTATTTACTTACGCATGAGAGTCAATGATCGTAGTTGAAACAGCGTCGGGATAAATAAATATGCTAATTGCATTTACGTGTAACGGGGTACCATAAGAGAACGCAGTATTAGAGCGAGTGCTTGTGTCCACTTGGACCCATAGGGAAAGTGTGAAGGCACTTAACGAGGACGTAAATGGCTCATCCAGGATAGCGTGGTCTTCGGTAGATTTTCTTGGAAAATTCAAAACCTGTCCCGCCTCTTCAAAGAAATCATAAAAATCGATMTTTTAAACAAATGAATTGATCAGACTAACCACTACTGAGGCATTATAGTTTGATTCAGACCATTAGAGGTCGGGTTCGCACTGAACKTATTTATAATGCTCATATTCTTTCCCCAATAGAGTCATCACACTTGTACCGTGAAACATAATCAAAGAAGTAGTAACTATTAGTTTTTATTTACTGACTCATTGTATGAAATAGTAGATATCACTGAACCAAAACAATTCTTAAAAACGAAAGGTAATACACAAGARACTTCACTTAGTTATTGCTAATGTTTGATAGTAGTCGATTCTAATGGCTTCGTGACTGCTTACAAT